TTTTATGTCTCATAATACTTTCCTCGAGTTACGAGTTTAATATCTTTTGCGTTTATCAACGTAAATTTCTTTTCCATTTTTCTTTGTCTTGTTATTGTACGACATTCAAATTTTTATTGGTAAACATAACATCATTGGACACAACACTGTTATCTTTACTTTCCCTCCTTCCTTTATTTCTTTTTCTTCTCCTTCTTTATCAGCTCTTTTAAAAGATTAAAATTCTATTGAGATTTTTGATACCGAAAAGAAAAAAGAATGTCAAGAAATAGAAATGTATTGCTTCTCTTACTCATTTACCTGTTAATCTCTTTGCTGCATGTTTAATTTATTACAAATAAATTACTTAATTCATATATTTTATTTGTGTGCAACTGAACAAATTGTGTAATTAGTAATTGGAACGAAGGATAAACGTACAAATAGAATATTGAAAAATAACTATATAAATTGTATCAAATAATTATGAAATAAATTTTTTTTAAGACTCCACATGGAGGAATAAAAAATCATTCGCAACATCAAGGTAAGACAATTTATACAGGGTGTCCTATTTTCATTGTGTATTTCAGATGGCGCTATTTTCGAGATATTCGAGATGTGTGACTATCATTTTTCCTAAATGAAAACCCCAATTTTTTTATTATATCTTGATCTTTTTCTATCAATTAATTTGGACAACTTTTGTCTGAATTATTATCTAATATATTTTGAGATATTTCAGGAAAACTTGGTAATTTTTTTAAGATATAGCTTACGATATCTCGATAACTATTTGTCAGATGAAAAGTAGTACTTTGGTGGACGTTTTTATTTTATTTAGTCTCAAAAATATACTGTTACAATAGTGCCCTAACTTTTGTTAATTTGATGATTCTGAAATTTCCAAAAGTTAATAAGTTAATAAAAGTTAAAGCATTATTGTAACAGTACCTACCCACACAGCACCCTTTATCTCAAGGTCCTACAACAATATCCTGGAAACATACAAATATCCGTTATTTTAGATCCTATGGATATCCTACGGATATCTCTTTTAGTATCAATTTTTAAAAACTAAGAGTTTCTAAAAAGGAACTGAAAGTTACTAAAAGGGATATCTAGGAACTGAAAGTTACTAAAAGGGATAGGATCTAAAACAGCGGACATTTGTTTATCTTTAAGATGCAGTATCCCAGAATGATATCTGTCGGACATCTCTGAGATAAAGTGTGCTGTGTATATTCTTGAGACCAAATAGAGTAAAAAAAGACTGGTACACCAATGAATAGTTACCAAAATATCATAAACTAAATCTTGAAAAAATCATCAAATTTTCCTTAAATTTTTCAAAAAATATTAGACAAATAAAAAACAAAACAAACAAAAGTTGTTCAAATTGGTAGAAAAGGATATGATAAAAAAAATTGGGGTTTCCACTTAAGAAAAGTAACATTCAGTGAACATCTCGAAAGTGGCGCCATTTGTAAAAATGATATTGCTGTTTTATGTCCTCTTCAGGCTAAACCACTTTTGTCTAAAACATTTTTTCACCCTAACATTTTGCGATATTAATCGAGATGCAATTAAAATGAGACGCCCTAGAGTACTAGATAGTACTAGATTTTGAAAATTTTTGTTGATTCTTCAAATGCAACAGAATTTGCATGTTAACGTAAAACTAAGGAAGAGTAACCATTTTTTACGGTTTCTGGATCCTTTTCTCTACGGTTCAAATATAATTAGAATTATTTGTTTGTCTTGATCAAAAGTTATTAAGAAAGTTTTTTACAGGATGTGTAGAAGAATTCCTACTTTTGGAATCTTGAAATTTTTTGTCAGAAAAATTGACTTTCGCCTTGTTTTTAAAAATTCACGATATCTTTAGACCTCGATAAGGCGATCATTCGGTTCTATTAACTATGTTTTTGTTAATACCTATTCTGCTTGTTCTTAAATATGGCCCTGCACATTTCAGTCATTACCTTTTAACTATGCATAATAAATATGCTATCATTTAATAATACTATTATTATTATTACTTATATCACTACTTAATATGCCCTATTATGACTTGCTGACAGCACTCAATATTAGGTGCTTGCAAAAGTTCGTATGATATTAAAGCTCTTTTTATATATTAATCACGAGGTGACATATAATATTTTAATCAAAGTACTGGCCGCGTTGCTATTAATAACGCTTTTGCCTCAGGTTGGGCGTTAATAGCAGCATTTTTGCTGATGTTTAACCTTTGGCAGCGTTTTTTGTGTGCGTTTCTTCTCTTCTGCTCTGCATATACTAACTCTCGCTGTGCTAATAAATTCTTTTTTATTATTATAAATTATTATAATAAATTATTATAATAAATTCTTTTTTATTATTATTGTTATCTTTTGGGTAATAGCTTTATCCCGCACCGATAAAATGACGCATTTTTTAAGACAATTCACTAGTCAATTCGTTTTCTCATCTCTTCAGCATTTTGAAACAGTGCATCATCAGATAGACCGTACTGCATCGATCTGAATAGATGAGAATCAGATTGGGCGATATCTGAAGTGCGCTGAGTGCGGTAGAACTTTTCAATGTCACTGTAGACGCAACAGCGACATGCGATCTGAAGCAGGTGTTGTCGTGAAGCAGGATAACTTTGCGTCAACTCGCGGCTATTCGAGGACGTTTTTCCCTTATGAATCGATTCAAACGCCATATTTGTTGACGTAGCAATCTCCCGCCAGACATACAAGAGACTTTTATAACCGTGATGCGTTTTGTTGTGGATGTCGATAGTTGGCTGGAGTCAACTCATGACTTTCCGCGTTTAGGATTATCAAAATAGATCGACTTTTCATCAGCCGTAACTATTCGCCACAAACAACTCTTTTTTCGTGCCTGGCAAACAATGAAAAACGTTGTAAACCGGTTTGTAATCGTGTTTGCAGAGAGTTTATAAGGAAGCCATCCTGCTTCCTTCTGGATCTTTCTCATCGCTTCCAAATGGAGGGATACTGTTGATTCATCAATTTCAAGCTGCCCTGCGAGCTCTTTTAATATTTGGCCCGAGTTTTCGTTGAGCAATGCTTCCAATTCGTTCTTCTCGTTTGGACGACCAGAACGTGGCTTATCGTTGACATTGTAGTCATCATTACTAAACTTTTAAACTACTTCTCACAGACAACCCCAGCGGACACGATACTTCCTCCATAGGTCTCACAAATCAGTCTTTTAGTTGTTGCAGTAGTTTCATCTCGATTAAAGTGGCAAAACATGCAGCGGCGAAGTTAATTTTATCCGGTTCCATCTTCAATCACGTTTTATTCGTAACTATAAATTGTAGTCAACTCCGATTGAGTATGATCAACATTTGAAATCTAAAGAACAGCTTGAAGGAAAACAATTATTAAGCCGCTGCTACAGCCATCTATTTGATCCTTACGAACTTTCACAAACACCTAGTAGCCTCATTCGAATCCGAATGCAGTCACATCATTCTGGAAGTACAAAGCACTTGGTTTATAGTCGATAAGAACTGAGAAGCCTTTGACGCCATAATAGGATTCTACTATCGGTGTAAAATTAATCTTCGCACAGTAGACCTAAATACTGTTGCATCCACGTTGCAACAGTATTTAGGATGCTAGGCATTTCTCCTGTTCCATTCTCAGCAAACTTCCTGGATGACGTGATGAAAACTGGCGCCCTATAGCTCACCTAACCTTTCCCACTTCACGTCTGTATTAGATGCAAACTTAAGACACTAGTAGGGTTGCCAGATTTATAAATTGATAAAGAAAGACGGCCGAAAATTTTGATGACTAAAAAACGAAAAGATTGTCAGGTGGAATGCGTCTATTACCTTTCCGAACGTCAATTTTCAACTGCATTCGACTGTTATACGTACTCGTACATTTCATATATGTATTTCATATGTATATGTTATTGATGAAAGTATATTGACCAAAATGTTACTAGCTAGTAACTATGATGAGTCACTATGGCAGCACATCTGGCAAGCAAAAAGGAAAAACTCCTTCGATACGGTAAGGAAAGACTAATAGTGTTTGGCAGGATATAAAAATTTTGGCAAACAAAGCAACAAAGAAGGCAACAAAGAAGGATAATCTTTCTTGGAGGGAGACATCTGGCAATTCTAGAGTTGAGCGATAAGGACAAAAACTAGTGTCCTATAACTCATCTAACATGCTCAACTTCTCGCCTGTATTAGCTGCAAACTTAAGATACTGGTAGAGTTGTCAGATTTCTAAACTGATGAGGAAGGACGGTAAAAAATTTTGATAACTAAGAAACGAAAAAAATCGTCAAGTGGAATGCGTCTACTATCTTTTTGAACGTCAATTTTTAACTGCATATGTTATACATTTCATATATGTATTTCACATGTATATATTATTGATAAAAATATACTTACAAAAATGTTACTAGCTAGTGATACTATGATACTATGATAAGTCACTATGGTAACACTAGACTCGAGTGATAGGGACAAAAACTAGCGGCCTATAACTCATCTAACATGTCCAACTTCTTCCCTGTATTAGCTGTAAACTTAAGATACTGGTAGGGTTGTTAAATTTGTAAAAAATCTGTAGATGTGTAAACTGATAGAGGATGGCTGAAAATTTTGATGACTAAAAAACGAAAAGGTCGTCAGGTGGAATGTGTCTGTTATCTTTTTGAACGTCAATTTTCAACTGCATATGTAATAAATGCATTTTATATATGTATTTCATATGTATGTATTATTGATAAAAATATATTGACAAAAACAGACAGAACAGAGAGAGGATTGACAAAAATGTTACTAGCTAGTGACTATGATAAGTCACTATGGCAGCACATTTAGCAAGCAAAAAAAACTCTTTCGATGCGGTAAGGAAAGACTAGTAGTGTTTTTGGCAAAACATAAAAATTTTGGCAAATCTTGACTAGAAAGGAGGACGATCTTTCTTGGAAATGGGACATTTGGCAACTCTAGACTCGAACGATAGGGACAAAAACTAGCGTCCTACAACTCTATCTAACATGCCCAACTCCTCGTCTATATTACCTGCAAATTTAAAATACTGGTAAGGTTATCAGATTTGTAAACTGGTGGGAAAGGACGATTGAAAATTTTGATAACTAAAAACGAAAGATCGTCAGATGAAATACGTCTGTCGTCTTTCCGAGCGTCAATTTTAAATTGCGTATATTATACATTTCATATATGTATTTTATTGGATTGGTCAATAAGTAATATCGAATTTTTCCGTAAGAGATAATTTCTGCTGTTTTTAAAACAAAAGGTCCTTGTATCCTATAAAACGCGTGTATAGTCTAAAAGTCTGAGATATTAACATGTAATTTAAAAAAAAGTTGATTATATTTGTTAAATTTTTTTACTACTTATTTTGATTTAAAGATGAACAACAAGAAAATGTATTCTTGTGTAATTACCCAGGTAGCACATGTTCTCCTGGGGACGTCCTAAGGACATCCTGAGGATGAAGAAACATCCCCAGGATGTCTTCAAGACGTACTCTGGGCGTCCTCCAGACATCTGTGCTGTTAGGGTATGCTTTTTATTTCTGCAAAAATAAAAATGCGGTACAAACAACAATAAGATTCCTGATGTACATATCGACGGTGCTGTGAATGAAAGAAGGGTACTAAGATAATTCAAAAAATTCTGTATTGGAAGTTTTAGTCCTACCGGTGATAAATGTTCTAACAGACCTATCAAAATTGATAATGATTAAATTTCCAGTTGAAAATAATCCACGTTATACCACACGAGAGTTATTTGCATCAGCTTTGTATTCCAGATATTCCAGATGTAATATTTGGGTTCCACACGATTACTTGTTCCGACATTACTCTTTGGCCGATCCAATACATTTATATTATTGACAAAAGTATATCGACAAAAATGTTACCAGATAGTGACTATGGTAAGTCACTATAGCAGCACATCTGGCAAGCAGAAAAGGAAAACTCCTTCGATGCGATAGAGAAAGACAAATAGCGTCCTCGGTAGAACATAAAAATTTTGGCTAGGAAGAAAGACTATCCTTTACAAAGGAGGGCATCTGGCAAGCTTAGATACCGGTCATGCTGATCTTTTAATATAAGCTTCCGAATAAATCTGATTTCACTCGTAGAGAAAAGGATCCAAAAAATGACGAGCTTCCTTTCGACTCGAGTTAAATGCGACGCAAATTACTTGAAAATCCATATCGTCAGAGGGAAGGTGCTCGTTACCAGGTACCACAACCTTATATCGAACTTGGTTTCTTTCACCAGCAAGGGACATTCTGAAATACAAAAGGCTCGGCTGTTGACAGGCTTGACGTGTTTTTTTTCTTTCCCCGCTCGCTTCCTTCGTTTTCCTCTTTTCCTGTTTCTTACGAGAACCGTACCGATGTATTTCTGCACGATGTAGTAGTCTTTTGGCTTCTCGGCGACCTTACGTAGAATGTCCGCAAGATCGTGAGATATAACGATGCCATTGCCGCAGCATAGGTCGCTGGGCTTCAGAATCCAGATGCCTCTCATGCCGCTCATCGCGTACTGCGGGTCGACCGTCTTTAATTTCTCCAAAGTCGCGACGGCGTTCTCGAGGCATCTCTATGGCGAGCGATATTGATATCGATTTATGCGGGAATATCAGGTTTCGTTGCGGCGACGCCGTCGTCGTCGTCGTCATCGTCGTCGTCGTCGTTGTCGTCGTCGTCGTCGTCTCCGTCGCCGCGTCGGTGCTGGATCGACTTTAATTCCGGAAAGTTCGAATAAATTCATCCGCCGGCGAATTGGATCTCGTCGGCGGTCGGAGCCACATTTCGACGGTCGGCAGAGCGAAATTAATTTAATGAAATCGCGAAACGTCTCGATCGCACGGGGATCGCAAAAACGAGAGAGGGAAAGAAAGAGAAAGGGTAAGGGATAGACAAGGGGGGGAGAGAGAGAGAGAGAGAGAGAGAGAGAGAGAGAGAGAGGATCGTAGAAGGGGGAATTTCAAGAAGCCACCCTCAGCGGTGCGGCCAGCGCGCCGCCAGAAGAGGGTTTGGGTCGCGTGTGAAGTTTGCCGCCTGCTACGTGGACAACTCGGAATACGTGTCAATTGCGCACTTCCTTTGACCGAAGTGCTTCCGGCGGTAACCTAAATAGAGGCTGCGATAAGCACGTATTCGACGTGTCTGATTTACGCCCGATAGGGCGGGCCGTCGGAGTCGCCCATGTAACGAGCTAAGGCATCTTTCTCGTCGTGTGACGCCATCTCCTCCTTCCCCTTTTTTCTTCCACGAGACGTTAATTGATCAAACTACTTGACAGCCCGTAATGAAAATTCGCAATCTCGGGATACAGAGCTACGCACGAGACGCGCGAGAGAGGAACGTCCAGCGGAGGGGAACCGCCCGTCAGAGCCGATAAGTAGCGATAAAACGACGATAAAAACATTAGTTAAGAATCTCACTCGAGTCTCCTTGTACTCGTGGCGTCCTATCGCGTCGTTATCGCGAGCCCTTTCATTTTGTTTCATCAGTTAAGCAGTTAGTGGTATCGCGCGGCAGCATCTCCGAAACATGTTTAATCTAAGGATGTTTTCGTGAACCCCTTGAATAATTAACACAGTTTGGTTTTGTTGCCTACGCTACCCTCGTAATCGCTTCTATTATTAGCGCGAATCCGGGGAGCGCGAAATAAACACGCCACTCTAGCCCAATCGATCGTTCAGCACGTGATGCGTTTCTGAGTTAAAGAAGAGCGCATTCCGCGCTCCGGCGAAAGCGCGAATTTTGCGCGCGGAGAAACGCCGGGACCGCTCCGAGCAAATGGAACGAGATACGAGAGCGACGTCGAGACACGCAGCACCAATACGAGAAATTCTGACGACGTCTCGCTATTAACCGCCGGCTGCTGATTTAATTGGAACGTTACGCGCGCAACGACGAAACCCGTTCTCTTCCTTGCTTCCGTGTCTCGCAATGACAAAAATCGCATTCTATGCAAGAAATACACAATGGGCCGCCATTCCACGCGAAAGTATTCAGCTCTGTAGAATTCATCGACCCGACTTCTTTTCTTTATCGCGCTTAATGGATCTATTAATTTAACGTCTTGTATGCGTATATACAGGGTGTTGAGAAAAAAGCGTTCAAGTCTCTAAGGACAGATAGTACTCACAAAGGAAGGAGGAAAAGAAAGGCCTAATAAACCCGAGTCGAAGAATTAATATTGTCGTATTATTACTAATATTGTAATATTATCTATTTTAATTACAGCAATTGACCTACTCTCGTTTCTGATGATTACAGAAGATTTTCTACATGTCTTGCTATTTCTACACACGCTTCACATCTTCGTATCACAGAATTGCAAGCTCCTTCAAAAATTCCCGGCTTTGTTCTAACAGTTTGACATTCGAACATTTAAATTTAAGTCTTTCGGTGAAAGATAGATTGGATGAGGTGAACTAAACTTATAATCCCCTTTAAATTCCCTGGACTTTTTTTCTGGGGACTTTTTGAGAGCATAGTGTACTCTTCACCGATAAATGACACAGACGAATTACATCAGAGAGTACAAAATGCCTGTCAAGTAGTTGGAACAGAGTCAGGAATTTTTGAAAAAGTTCACAATTTTATGGTGCCAAGATGAAGTAGAAATGGGAGAAAGACACGTAGAATATCTTTTATAAACTTCGTGAGCACCAGAAACGAGTAAGTGACTTACTTCAATTATTCATAACTCCGACAATATTAATTTTCCGATCATGTTTGTAAGACTTTTTCTCCATTTTGAGTATTATCTGCCCTTAAAGCCCTGAACCCCTTTTTTAAACACACCCTGTATGTAGGGTGTGTCGTAAGGTGAAGTCAATCAACTAGGAAGTAAAAGAGGAGCTTGAGTAAAATACATGATGTATATAAACTTTTGTTTGCATTTCCTATGGTTTTTAATAAATATACAGCGGATGTGCAGAGAGTATTGAGACCTCTTAATATTTCGAAAAATATGCATTTTCGGAAAAAATGTTTCATACAAAAGTTATAGGGTTTTAAATGACACACTATGGAGTAAAAAATTAGTATGACTTAGAATAATCTTGTCAAGGTCACGTAAAAATTATCTTGAAGATCTTTAACTTCAAATTTTTACGTGACCTTGAAAAGTCAATTCAAGATCATACTACTTTTATTGTGTAAGACGTCACTTAAAATCCTGCAATTTTAATATGGAATATTCTTTTCGAAAATACATATTTTTTCCGAAATATTAAGGGATTTCAATATTTTCTATACACTCATGTGTAGAGCGTTATATTTTTTTATTTTACCTTTACACTTCCATCCAAAATTAATTTTCTTTATTTTTATCAAAATGTGTCTTCCCTTTGAGACAATACAATCTAAACAAAAAAAAAAAGAAATAAACCTCGATATCATTTAATTTTCGAAATACCTGATCCGTTATGTTTGGAATTTAGCAACCCGTATATATTTCATAGCGAAACACGATCGAGTTATTCGCGTGCAAATATATACTGTATTATTAATAACCTTTCGGAAATGGAGGAGGGGCAGCGGAGGAGAGAGGTGTTTCTCGCAATAATCCAGCGCTAAATCAATGAATATATTCATAGATACGAGAATACATCAATTAGTTTCGCACGTCTATTAACGCTGGAGCAAAGTAAAGCATGCGCACAGTTCCATTACCTGAACACGCTCGGATCCTTCGGATGAGCTCTCGATCCCGGCCCCCTGATGAAGCGCCGCCGTGTAATCCTCCAGAAAAACGTCCCACTCGCGCTCAGTAGGCTGATTATCGGCCTCTACGTCGATGTCCTCGTGCGTCGCGATGACGACGAACTCTTCGCAACGGTCCACGGCGAAGTCCAAGCGGGCGATTGGGATCGTCCGCCGTTTAGAATCGCTCGCGAGAATCGACGGTTCCTCAGCAACGCTCATCTCGCGAACGAACCATTTGAGCAAGCCCGCGGCCGCGGTCAGCCGAAAGTCCTCCAGGAAGGCTCGCTGATTCTCGGCGGGGTTGTAGCTGCGTGGAAACAGCACGTCGGACACGTTCTCCTCGTACAGCCAATATGCATCCTCTAGTGAGCGTGCCATTCCGAGCTATACACACGCAACGATTCGTTTTATTTGTCGAGCGTTGCGCGAGATGCCGCCTTTATTGGCGGCAGGCGGGGGCAGAAAAGGATGACAAGATCTGGTGGTGAAAAATGACCGGTTTGTAATTTCTTATAAGAATTATACAAATTAAAGTACCTAAAAATTCACATAACGACACATCTTTTTATTTTTAATAAATCTAATATTTTCCGCTTGGGTCCATTAAAAATAATTAGATCTGTTATGTTTAATAGATGATAATGATTTTTATATATTTTCAATTTAATTTTTAATTTTTTGATATGTTATTAATTTAATTTGTAATAGAGTTAATTATTTTTAATCTTGTAATTTCTGGTAAGAATTATGCTAACTAAAGTAGCTTAAAATTCACATAACGATGCATTTTTTATTTTTAATAGATCTAATATTTTCCGCTCAGGTCCGTTAAAAATAATTGAATCTATTATATTTAATAGATCTAATTATTTTTAATGAATCCAAGCGGTGAAATGATCGGTTTGTAACTTCTTGTAAGAATTATACCAGCGAAAATAGCTTAAAATTCACATGACGATGATTTTTTTATTTTTATTTTTAATAAATGTTGAGTGGGGCCAAGAGAGAAGCAAATATTTCGGCCGCTTTGGTCCTCTTGTATTTTTGCAATAATCCATCCACTTCAAGCGTTCTGGCGAAACTAGGTCGCGTTAATCGGCTAAACAGTTCTAATGTTAATTGCACAAAGGTAAAACAACAGATATGTCATCCGACATATCCCGAGTCCACTGACCGCACAAGACTGACGGTGTATTCACAAGGATTAGCATAAAAGCGTCATTTCGACTGATGCGGAGCCCAAGGTCGGCCCAAGGCCAGGTGTACCTTGGAAGTGTAAACGAATGGCCTCTGATATTTGTTAAGCAGGACGCAGTTGGACAGGCCGCGATGCCACTCGACGAAGTCGTTCCTGCAGTCCCATATGAAGTCGGGCTGCTTGTCCCGCAAAAGAGCGAAGATCACGGCCCTCTCGTTCAGCGTCCCGTCCGCTCGCGTGATATCGCTCAAGGAGCGAGTTTCTAAGTTAGTCACGGCACCTAATCGTCGAAGCGCACAGAAAATAGTGGACATTAACGACGATATTTCATCCTGCTACCGACGCCCCAGCCGCCTACTGGCGGCGGCGGCGGCGGCGGCGAAGGCAGTGGTAATGTTCGAATTCAGCAGCGGCAACAAATTCTCTTTCCCCCCTCGCCCCTCGTTTTCCCTCTCCGCCGGTGGCGCGCATCAACTTTATCGTCCGCAAACAATCTAACCGTATGGCAGCATTCTCGTTTTAGTCGACTCGTACTTCTGCACCCAGCCCCGCGCCTCGAGCGCCTCCTTCAGCCTCGGCAGCTCGCCCCGTATGAGGAATACCTTGTGCCTCTGCAAGGTCGACACGTCGATGCGTTAATGAGGCGCGAGTATGATATTATTCCAGCGAGCGACAATGCAAAGGGACCAGCAGCAGTCGAGTTCGCCGGACGCAGATCGTTAGGCGCCGCTAATTAATCCCGGGGAAAGAAATTACTTTGACGGCGGCCGCCACGCGCTCTTTGATTTTCCGGTAAGCCGCCTTTCTCGCCCAGTCCTCCCGGCAGCAGCCGCGCGTCCTCGCCTCCTGCTCCTGCTCCGGGGCTTCCCGGGGGCAGCAGGAGCACGCGGCCATACAGGAATTCGCGAACACGCCGCACTCGAATTCCGGCAAACCACTAACGACGTCGCCCTCGCTGTCGTCCACGTCGTCGTCCGGCCGCAGCCACTTTGGCCACGTCCTCGCGAAGGCGGGTCGATTGTAAGGATTCACGGGGCTAACCTTCCTCGCCGGCCCGCTCGACGAAGGGGACAATTTCCAACTGGATTGAAACTTCTTATCCTCGTGGCACGTGGGCTCCATTGTGTGAAGGGGGTGGTGGAGTGTGCGTGTGTGTGGGCGATGGCTGCTGCCGTCAGTTTGGCTCTCACGATGTCGCTCCCTCCCTAATGTCCCCTTCCCCCGCCTCCGTCCCCCGGCAACCAGGGCCGACGATGTTGAATCACCGCGATTTGTCGTAATTTGTCAACGTAACTCGTCATTTATAATTATCAGGCGGCGGCGCGTGGGTTCGCGGAAACGAATTAACGCGACGCGAGATCCGTTTTGCCGGGCCGCGCGCGCGCCTCGGTAACGCGACTTTGAAATTAGAGCGGAACTCCCCCTCGGTGATATCTCAGTCACTCGATTAACGGCTAATTGCATTCATTCGGCGCGGTCGCGAAACGTCGCGGTGGCGCGCTTTTCGACGAGAACGCGCCTCGCCTCATAATTGATTCAGGAGGCAGGGGAGTGGGCGGGCGGGGGGAAGGGGGGAGGAGAGAAAGGTCCATCGCGCGCATATCATGTGGTAACGCGAGATGGTAACACGTTTAACGAGCTATGCAAACAATTTTGGGGCCCGTCGTGTTGTCTGGCTGCGCGCGATTTCTGCCGACTGAGTTTACGCAATTATGTGGAAAGCGCGGATCAGACGCGACGATTAGGACCGGACAAATGTTGGCCGATGTTCTTAAAGCCGCGTGTCTAACAGTCGAGGGCTGCGGGAGGCCTCTGCCGGTCATTACCTGCCTACACACGTGCGTACGTGTGTGAACGCACGTGTGTGCGTGTGAGAGAGAGGCTCTCGTACGATTTCCGGATACATTTCGAGCCGCAAAGAACACACAGACAGTCTGTTTCTTTTTTTAGCTACATTGCTGAACTGGTGCAATAAGTTAGAGTGAGAAAAAATATTGTTGTCTCACTTTAACTTATTGCGCCAGTTCAGCTGTGTAGCTAAAAAGAACAGACCCAAAGTGTATATTAGACGCCTGCGAGAGTTGGTCGAAGAACAAGAATGGGTAAAAAGTGACGATTTTAGCCCATCATCGGGAACGAACAAAACACATTATTTCTATAGGATTTCTATTGGATTCTATAGGATTTTGACCTACTGAACACGATAGAACACGAACGCCGTCGATAGTTTTCCTTTAAACCCCGGAGAACATGTTCAAATTCGAAGATATATCATCCAATAATCGAATAGCCCGGGAAGCGTAACCTTTGCGTAAACTTTGAAGCTATTGCAAACTCGTGTATTAGCTAAATTAGCTGAAGGCAGTTTAGATTTTAGATTTATTTTCGTTTAGAAATATTTTCGATTTAATAATTGAAGGTGTTCTCTTTTTATGCAAAATTTGCTGACAAATATACACGGTGTTACAGATCACTCGTATCACTCGATATACACGGTGTTACAGATCACTCGTATCACTCGATTTATTTGTAAAAGCGACATTTTAGGGAAAAATTCAGACAAAAGTTGTATGGTTTCAAAGTGGACATATAACAACTATATCATTTTATTTATAGATGGTGCCATTTTCGCAAGATATTCACTGATCATTACTTTTTTTAAATGGAAATTTTTTTTAATCCTTTTAAATGGAAATCTCAACTTTTTATTATATCATCTTTTTCTATCAATTAATTTTAACAACTTTTTTCTGAAACATTTTTTTATTTGCCTATTTTTTGAGATATTTAAGGAAAGCTCGGTAATTTTTTCAATATTTGACTTACGATATCTCGCTATTTGTCGGAAAAAAAAATGGTACCAAATTTTTTTACTCTTTAGTCTTAAGAATATATTGTTACAATAGGACCCTAACTTTTTTGTTAATTTAAAGATTTTGAAATTTCCAAAGGTCGATAAGTTCGATTATTGTATGATAAATCTTCGGATTTAAACATAGTCCTCGGGGCTTAGAGAAAAACTAACGACGGCATCATGTTCAGCAGGTCGAAATCTTATTGAAACAATGTGTTTTGTTCGTTCCCCACGATAGACCAAAATCGGCACTTTTTATCCATTGTTCTTTGCAGCTGTATTCTATTCTTTTGTTATTTCTTTTGTTGATATTGGATAACAGAAACATGAAGGAGTATGTTAAAAAATGGCTGATTTCTGTCACCACGAGGAGGGAATACGGGAACAGTTCCCCTGACTCCCCCCACCACGGTCCGAATGGTAGACATCCCGCAGAGGTTTTAGTCAGTAAAAGTCTGACATAACCCCCGACCCCCCAACGGGTCGGGGGTATCCATGATGGATTTCCCCTGCGTTACCAAAAAAAAAAGAAAAAAGATTTCTGTCACCAAGCCAGTATATAAAATTTGTATGATTTCTTAGAGTTCTTTAGTCGTAGAGTCACTCCGAAACGGATTTTAGCTGGTAAAACATACGCAGAGTATTAGGTGATCAGAAAAGTTCATGCGACTTTTCTTTGAGTCCGATACAATGAGTCGTCAATGAGTCGAATCTTGTTGAGACTCGTCGGGCGCGCGTGTTTATGCATATCATTTAACATAGATTTGCATGAGCTAAGTGGTGAACTTTATCGTAATACGGTCTCTTGGTTCGTGATTATTCATTCTTTTAAAGCGTCTGTTGAATCGAGTTGAACTCGAGCATGTTTGCTTTATGAAATTAAACTCGGATTAAAAACTGTAAAATCATGTTGTAAGATATGCGTAATGTTTGGAAAAGACGGGCTAAAAGAACGGACTCCGTAGGAGTGGTTAAAAGAATTTCCTTCTGGCGAGATGAATTACTTGAAAATGCACCACGTTCTGGAAAAATTTTTACTAATAATGTTATTTATAACGAATAATTACCAATTATTTATCCATATATCAATTATGACAATTTTTCGGAAAATTTCTACTCTTGTTTAATCTTTAATATATAAATCCAACTTCTTTGGTTACCTAATATTTTACCTTGACATCCGCATATCCGCCGTGGAGTAAACTCGAATAAGATTAGAGTTGCCAAATTTATAAGTTGTAAGGGAAAGACGGATGAAAATTTTTATGACTAAAAAAAAGAAGAGGTCGTAGGATGGAACGCATCCGTCATCTTTCCAAACGTTGATTTTTACAGCTGCACGCGTTATTCATTTCATATATGTATATTTTACATATATAGGATGAGACACTTAAAACAAGATTAATATCAATAATTTTAGAAATATGCAAGATAAAAAAAATGTTAAATACAGAAGTTGTAGGATTTTAATGTAATGCATAGCAATACTAGTATGACCTTGAACAGCGTCATCAGCGTTTAGCGTTTAGCGATTATCAAAGAAACTACAGCCTGTGGCTATCTTTCTCGTATGACTATTTTACCCAAGTTCACTCTGTTCATTCTTGTGACAAGTCATACCGTACTTGAAGAGAAAAATGGAGATCATAAGTGACCCATCTTTGGAATTTGCATTCATTTTCTCCATACTTTGATAGCAAACGGATATCGTTGCCAAGGATTCTACGGCCAAGAAACTACAAGAAACCATGCAAATTTTATATGCGGCCTTGGGGGCAAAAATCGGCCACTTTTTAACATGCTTCTTCGACTACAGCATGTATCGTTGTCCTCCAGCGTTTTGCATCTTCCTTCAGACAATTTATCTAGCATTTGTAAAAGAAACTCGTTTCTGTAGCCAGTGAAATGATCCGACAGATTTTTGCGAGTCGCGGGTATGTTTTGTACAAACACAACATCCCAAACTTCTAACGAAATTCTTATAACCGAACACCGTTCGCGACTCGTCCTCGCAATAAGAGCGATGACAAAAACGATCAGTATGATCGACGACGCGACAAAGGCAAGGTTGTCTCGGATGACATTGTCACAGGGAAAATCCGAACGGTCGGTGACGTACGCGCGACAGGCCGAGAGCGGACTCGCGCTCGCGCGTAACGGCGCGATAAATCCCTCGGAGCGAGCGATAAATCGTCCAGTTAAATCGCCGTCGCCGCGCTAATACAATTAAACGGCGAAATAACTGCTGCGAGCCGTTCCGCGCCGCGAGTGTTCGTTCAGTTTATCAGCATTAATAATAAAGTCCGCGCGGCCACATTTCTCTATTCGCGCGGCGCGTGCGGATTCTCCTCGCGAGATTTCGCCTCGCGAGTTACTCCCCGCGGGCTTCTTTTTTTTTTTATCGGCGAGTCGAGTCCCCCGCGAGCTTCCACGGCGATCATCCGCGAGTCTACTCCTTCTCGAGCGAAACGAGCAGCCAAATTGCCGACCCTCGCTCGTTGGAGCTCGCAAGGCTCTCTAAATCCGCCATGACGGACGTATCGGCTCGAGGTTAAGTCATCGACATCTCCTCGAGATAGCGACGACGAAGCATACCGGAAATTTTTACGACGGCTGCGCGACTCGGACCATGGGGATTTAGCTCATAACTTTTGTGTGCCGGACGTGTGTGTGGTTGAGGTGGCTAGGTGGCTTTTTATCAACTGCTCACGGCACAACGGGCATCTTTCTTCTTCTTCGTCGTATTCACATCGACGGTCGACGGGCGGCTACGTTCAAACCGTCTCCGCCTCGTCGGATTAAGGTTGCGTTCCGAAATGCGCTGACACTACTACTAACAGCACTGCTTTCGCGTCCCAATGATAGACATCTAGGGTGCTATTCAGAGACAACGTGTAAAACCGTAATAATCTTACTTTAATCCTAGCTTAATTGGTCCCTCGACAGTCTAGCCTATCTAGCCATGAACAAACGATGAACTAAGACTATGTTATTCGGAGACATTTTTCCGAAATGGTTCAAATCAGTTATCCGGTTATTCCTAAGGAAATTAAACCCTTCAGGCAGTATTCACAGTAAGATCTTATATTTAATCGTCTTAAATTTATCTTTAGATACTTTTCGTAGCCAATGAAATGTACAGGGGAATTGTCAGAGTGCGTCTTTTGAGGTTCGTGTTTACGTTGTGAGACTCTTTTTCTCTTCAATTTGTGACAATTTGAAAATTATTTTCAATGGACACATGAAATAAAATAAAGGGAAATAGAAAGGATAATTGAATTACAGAGGAGAAAAGTTTCCTGATGGATTTGACGTTAAAAAGAAAGATAATTTTCTATCTAATAGTTATCTAATAGTTCGATAGAAAACATTGCGGTCATTAATGAAAGTGTGGAGAATGCTCCGCAGATGTCAATTCGACATCGTTCGCAACAAGCTAACTTTTGGTACGGCACTACGCAACGAATTTTAACAAAAGACTTCAAAAGGTTTCAACAGGATAGTGCGATATATCACACAGTTCGTGAAACCATGCAATTATTACATGAGAAATTTCTTAGTCGCGTTATCTTGCAAAATGATGATGTCAACTGGTCCCCAAGATGTTGCAATTTGACGCCTTTGGACTATTCTCTTTGGGGTTATTTAAAGAAGCGAGTTTATACAATCTTGAAACTACGGAGCGCCTAAAGGAAAATATTCGACGAGAAATTGACGAGAATTCAACATTACAAAATTTAACATTATAAAACATTACGAAATTTTATATTACAAAACAATTATTGAAAACTTTATTAAACGAGTAATAAACAAATTTGTAAAAAGGTAAAGGCGGTCAATTACATGATGTTGTTTTTCATACATAATTTCAATTCCTAACAAACACATTGGTATAATAAAAATAATAATTTATAGGTAATTTCGTTGTTTTTTTTACAAAATAAATCCTGTACCCCTAGTTGGATCATCCTGTATATGAAATATTCTCCTCGTCGTTTAATGAGGTGAACTTTGAAAATTATCTTCAATAAAATTTGTGATATCTTGTGCATCAAGTAAAATTTGTGATATTTTGTGCACCAAGTAAAATTGGTGTCAACTTGGCCATAATTCTGTAAATAATTTAATTTCAATTTTTACATTTAGATAGATTATACTACTGTTAATTACCGCACGATTTTGCAAATGCGTTCCGTTTCACGCTGCTGACTATTTACTGGCAATTTTTAAATAACAAATACGCTAGATTCAGTAACAATATTATCAGCATTATTTTAGAACGCGATCTTAAAGCCTGGACACACAGAGAAACTTGAGCAATAAAATGTAAGTAATAATGAAATTGACCAATCGAAGTCGACTGCTCTTCTTATAGTCGAGAAATATTCAACTGTGATTGGTTAACTTGCTAACTGCTTATGTCTTACTGCTTTATTGTTACTGTGTGTATCTGTTTATTACCCCATTAATCATGATTTCCTAGCATGAGCGCGTATAAAACTATTTTCAGGGACTTTCCAGAACCGAGGACGATTCTCGTCGGATATTGCGTTGCGCGATGAGACTTTCTCAGATCTCGAATGAGATACGCGTTCCCGCGAAGGAGAGTGCGAGTTCGTGTCGCAAAATTTCGCGAGCACGTTGAGCGCTTCGCGTGTGCGTATATGCTTGTATGGATTTACTTTGGACAAATTATATTTAACAGTCGCGCGCGCAGGGAAGCGCGATATGCAAGAGAGTGCATGTGTAACAGCGAATTATTTTCTCGTCGCAAACGAGGTACCTTGGAACTCACGCGAACGTTACAATAAGTTACATTTTCACGCGCTTACACGCGCATACACACATACACACACACACACACACACACACACAAATACAAACGTACTCGAGACTGGCGTATGTAAAATGCCAAATTAGGCATTTTTATCATGAGTAGAAGAATTGGGTCGTTACGGAGCGAGAGAGTTAGGAGCAGCTCTTACGAATAAATAAAGGATCGCGCATTTTTGCGTGTGGAATTTTTTAGTGGCTTCCAAATGAGCCCGCTGAATTATACGATTCCGGACTTTATCCGTCAGAAAATTATCGCCAAACTGGGTCTCGCGGTATATTATTTCGGACGTTTGCAAAAAAAGCGAGTCGAGAGCGCCGTGGAGAAAGGTGACCGGGACGTCGGAATAAAAATCATGAAGTCCCCGGGGCGCCATCGTGCTGGAAGCCGCGGAGAATTGCATTTCATAATCGAATCCTGGCGATTCCTTCCGGGCGACTCGCGGGGACGACGATGCGTTCTTTTAAACAGGCAACACGCGCGCGCGAAAGTTTGCGGAAATAAACGTTCAAAGCGCGTTTTACCGCGCGCAGATTTATGACGCCGTTGCCCGGACCGTATTTATTTTCGCCCGAGCCCATATACACATATCCACTGTGTGTGCCGCACATAAATTCCATATCTCGCTTCAATATTTTATCGTTGTCGGATTAAAACAGCGCGAGATCCAATATGAAACGTTCTAGCGCGTGTGCGCGTGCGCGCGCCTACGCGCGCCCATGCGCACGCGCAGTGCGTTACACAGCGATACGCGACGAGGCGTGAAATAATAAAACGAATCCATTGAACACACGGCCGCTATTTTTCGCGAGAATACTTATCGGCGAAAGTATCACCCCCAACAGAGTCAACCGGAAATCGCGCGTTGCGGTCCTCGGAGTTGCCGTTTTCCGCGGCCGGCCCGCCAGCTTTACCAAAGCGGAATCTTCCCACAACGAGGTAATTACTCAATCGATAGCCCGGGATTATAACGAGCCGGGAGTGAAGGAAAGCTCGTCGAGCGCGCCCTTCCCCTCAGCTGCGACCCGGAGGAGGAAGGGGGGAGAGCTTTCGCTCTCGTCACTTAGCCTTATTTTAACTAATACATTTCGCGACTTCCTCCTTCCCTCTCCTGCGCGATATAATTAGAATAATGGAGGCCCCTGATACAGAGGCCTCCGCGCGTATGAATAGAAGGATGTAACTGCGGCAGGGTAGGGAGATTTAAAAGCACTCTCGGTGCCTCCGGTGATTAGAGAGTGCGCCGGGCGCGGTTACTTAGTCAGTTAACTCGTTCGCTCGTGCCCCCGCAGTCGCTGCGCCGTCATCGTATCGACTTCTCAGGTAGGGGCAACGCGCAGCGTCCTGGTCGAAGTTGGCTCGCGTAACTGTAACGCGGAGCGTGAAACACATATCGGAGGAAAAATCGCTCGTCCTTCGCGATGATGGCCACGATGTGGAAACACGTCTTCACGACGTGTTCACAGCACGTCGTGTTCAGCGCTGCCGTGGAATCGACAACGCTCGCGACAGCCCCGTCGCATTGAAACGCTGCTTCCGACTTGCGACTCGCGGCATCTCATATTTATTTCACCGCTAATCGATGATTCTCGCGCGCGGAAGGCATCAGGGAGATATTAAGCCGGCCTGCAACGCTCTAACGGCTGCGTCTTGTCAGTAATTATTCAGCGCTTCTAATGGAGCGATAACGTGGTCGTCGGTTAACGTACGCGTGCCCGACGGTTGAAGGCGTCAATTGTAGTAAAGGATGCGAAAAACTATTCGGTTAATATAACTGAATTTCGGATACGACAAGAGCGCAATCTTTGGTTCCTCAGGAGGCAATTGAAAATTTCGTTGCAACGCAAGAGAAATTCCGTTCAAAAAAGTTTCTGTTGTCTCAGATGTATATTCGATCACCTGAACCGAACATTAATGACGACCAAGGGTACAAGTTTTGTTCTTCACACGAATGAACAGAGCATCCTTGTGTACGAAAGTGGAAGGGGAAAGCAGTTGCGCGGTCGAGTTCGAAATCGCACCATTAGCAGCGTCATTCAACTTCTTCAAACGAATCTTTTCGGTCATGGTAACTGAGATCTCGTTTCTCTTTACATATAGGACGTAGTTTTCACGTCTTCTGTGAGAGTAGCCGAGTATTTTACCGCGGTAACTATATTTTCGAGATCGATAATTTTGTTTCCTTCAATCATAAATAGTTATCGATGTGAGTGGTTTTTTTATTTGCGAAAGAGAATTTGTTATTGTAACCGGAAGTCATATAACAGAAAATTCCCAGTTGTCATCACAAAATATCTGCGCGTGCATATAATTTAAGGCATAAATTTATATAATTTAAGATATAAATTTGAGGCACGATATAAATTTTAGTAAATTTGAAGTATATATACAAGTTAGACTATTTTATTCAACGCAAGCGAATATTTCGAGAAGCAGTTTTTCAAAGGAATATTTCAAACGAAAGTTTTATGGGTTCGAAGGGAAAAGATGATGATATTATCAATTTAATTATAGATGGCGCCACTTTGGAAATTTCATCATGGCGGCCATTTTTTAATGAAAATCGATTTTTCTCGAGATAAAAGTTGTAGCTGACAATGAGACGAGTACAACGGTTCTTTGTTCTTTGAAATTGGATCATTTTTCAGAGAATTGCGGCGTTCCGACGTTTAAAATTTAAATAAAAAGCTTTCACTTCCATACAGTGTGCGTATGCGTTTTGTGACTCCAAACCATCCTCTACCTGTGTGTGCATGCGTTCGTGTATGTGTGTACACACACACGTGAACGTGTGCGTGTGTATTGTTCCTATCCGTTATCTGGACTGATTCTGTTTGATAGCACACACGCACTATATGGGGGTGGAAGCTTTTTACTTAAACTATAAACTTTGGAACGCCGTCATTCAAAATGTTGCAGCGCTAAAAAAATGATCCAATTTAAAAAAACAAAGAATCACTATACTCGTCTTATCGTCAGCTGCAACTTTTATTTCGAGAAAAAATCGACTTCCATTAAATTAAATGGTCATGATGAAATCTCTGAAGTGGCGCCATCTACAATTAAATTGTTATCATCATCTTTCCCTCTCAAAGCTATAAAACTTTTGTCTGAAATATACATTGTATTTTTTAAAAACTTCTTTTCGAGATATTCGCGTGTGTCAAATAAAATGGTCTACCCTGTATATATAACGTCGAGCTAGCAAATTATCCGGCTTTTCTAATGACAACACGACTCGATGTCTCAAAATTCACGATAATCATGACAAAAATTTGAATTATTCTCCATTGCGCCGTGACAACGCTGAGAAAAACGGCTACGTTTAGGGAGAGAAATCTCGCACTATTGGTAGTTCACTATCAGTTTTCCTTTCAATATTGAAATTTTAAATATACCTTCACTGTTTACCATTTCTTTTCAATCAACCGCCGCTGAATTTCATGAGAAACGCCGAGTAACAAGCGACTGTCGTCGCACGCGACGGCGGTGTCGATAATTAGTATCTACGAATTATACGTAGTTAACTCACAATTTCGCCGCGCATGCACGGCACCTCGCCACCTGCGCGCGCATGTGTGTGTGCGCGTGCGTGTGTGAGTATCACAGTGAACGACGTGTCGTGCGAGCAAAGTAGCTGTAAATTAGCGAAACACAACTCCGTGGTCTACGGACACCGACGCGTTTATTAAGCTAATGCGCGTTTTCCGCCGAAAAACTTAATCCGCCGCGCGCTCGCGGCTCCCGTAGTTAGAGGTCCTCTCCCCTCCACCTTTCCTCTTCCCACGGTAACCAAGTAACATCGGCATAACTCGCGGGTTTCACCTAATTACGTGCATCGTAGCTCAGTCGTATTAGCGATGTGCTTGCGCGCAGCGTAACGTTACGCTGAAGCGACCGTGTCGGCTGCTTATAAATGGCAATGCCGCTCGACAGGCGGAGGTCACGCGAATAATTCGCGGGAGTACAGTGGGGGAGAATCCCAAAGGTTCGCGGACGAACCGAGGCGCAGACGCAAGTTGACCGTTCCCTTTCTCTCTCTCTCTCTCTCTCTGTCTCTCTGTCTCTCTGTCTCTCTGTCTCTCTGTCTCTCTATCTCTCTGTGTGTGTGAATAAATTATCTATCTATCTATCTATCTATCTATCTATCTATCTATCTATCTATCTATCTATCTGTCTGTCTCTCTCGCAATCTCAGAGTAACTCACGGGCTCAAAACAGTCCTTATTCACCAGGAGTAAGGTGGATTGCCGACCTTCCGCAAACGAGGAGCCATGCGTCGGGCTGCGGCATTTTCATCCGTGCAAGAGCCGCGTTTTACACGAATGGGAGTGAGACGAGCGAACGGAGTGGCCGAACGGTTCGTCGTCGTCCGGTCGGTCGCCGAAATGCACGGAAAGGGCAGAGCTCGGTAACAGCCGCCCTTAGCCGCGATATGTCATTCACGATGAAATAACAGCGTAATGACATTCTCGCCGCCGCGTTACGTGCTGTAGGCAGCGTAGCTTACAACGAAACGTAATTTCGCGCGGCTACGAGCGAGCGAGCGAGCGCGATCGATATAGGCGTCGCGGGCGCAGGTAAACACCGCAGTCCACACCGCCAGCACGCCATAATACGGCCAACGCGGATTAAAATCGGTGTAATTTTCGCGAATGCCGTCCTGCGATGCGCCGCGCCGTGCGGACGCAGCCGCAAAAATCCGCGCACCAGCCGGTCGGCCGGCTAGCGCGGTCGTGATGACCGCGACGGATATTTGCATTTAATTAATTTGTAATATATATATATATATATATCGCGCGTGTTCTTTTTTTATTATTCCGCTGTGCAACATTAAATTGTTATTTATGTCCACGCCCACGTGCCCGCCCTCGTTTGGCGCCGAGCGCGGAATATTCATCGAGAGCCGACGAGAGCGCACGGATCTGTTTCCCGCTCTCCACGATGGAAAAATTCCTCTCCTCTCTCGACAATTTCTCACTGTACATTGCGAGTCGCGATTTGAAGCGTGTCGCGCGTCTTTCACCGTTTTGAGGCTCTCCTCCCTCCTTCTGTCTTCTCTCACACACAGCGGCGCGGCTCTCTCTCTCTCTCTCTCTCTCTCTCTCTCTCTCTCTCTCTCTCTCTCGGCGCGAAATTCGACGAGAGTAGCTCGATAAGCAGCCGAAAACTTGCGTCCGACTTCTTCGTGGAGTTTCGGCGCCTAACAAGGGAGAAATTGCGACGTTCGCGACAAAGCGCAGGCGGAATTGCCGGGAACGAGTTACCGAGTTGGCCGGATTGAATTCGCTCGAAGGAGGCAAGCTTGATCCCGGACTGCGCTGCAGCATGCGAATACCGGACTGCTGCCGGATACTCCGCGACTCTCGGAGTTAGAAGCCGGTGGATGTGCCTTCGACGGAGCGAGCGCGGAATAAACAGGAAACAGGTACATACACACTCGGCGTGAGGGGCGAGAGAGAAAGGGGGCTTGGATCGGCCGCTCGATAGGATCTCCGCCAGTGCTAGCGCGTTTTGTCGCGGTCGGTACTCTTGGGAAAAGGCCACGTACAATGGCGCCGACTTAATCGTAAATTAGGTCGGAAAGCCTCATCCAAGTCCGCCGGCCAGCTTCGGTCATAAATCAGGATCGGGCATTCGTGACCCGCGGCTAAGTAGATTGTCGATCGACTCGTTCTCTTTCTCTCTCCCCCCTCTCTCTCTCTCTCTCTCTCTCTCTCTCCTTCTTCTGCTACCTTTTGCTCCGAATCGCGCCGCAACGGGGCGACATTGTAAAGCGATTAGGAAATTTAGTGTCTCGTGTTAACGGGGAAGTCGCGAGATTGCATCCGCAATTTTTAGCCGGTCTTTAGCCGTTGCTCGTAAAATCGCCCGAGATTTGTCTCACCATCGGCGAACGGGAGCACGACTCGTTCGTGGCGACGCTTACGACGCGGAGA